CACACACACACAATGGAAATTGATGATCTTCTGCAAAGAATAAATGCTGACAATCAATGAGGTCTGCCTAAGGAATGACAGAATAAGACAGTGCAGTTGTACAAGCCAAAGAAAGTTGTGGGTGAAGAACAGCTGGCTTCCTGGCTGAAAATGTGTGGAAACATCTACTGTAGTTTCATAAAGTGAGAGCTGGTCGATACCAACAGGCTGGACACACCACAGCTGAGGTGCGCTTACCACCTCCAGCTGGACGCGGGTCCTGCTGACCCGAGGACTGGCATCCCCTGTCCTTTGAACTGCAGGAGGAGAGAGGACCAGGGCACCACCCCACTGTGCCGTACAGCCAAGACTCCGAAGCTGCTGGCCCTCTCCAGCACTCCCTCCACTGCTAGGTGGGCCAGACCCTGGAACACCCCCAAATGAAGCCCTCTGTACCCCAAACCATGTCTCCTCAACCTCGGTCTGGCAGGGTAGCCATCACGTGTAGATCGTGGCCTGATTTTCTAGCTCTTTGGTTCTGGTCCTGCTGAGAGTGATTTTTCTTCTGAATTCAGCCCAGGTAGGGAGTAAGTCATACAAATACATATTAAAAAGCTGAACCAAATTCTTATTTGGAGAGCAAGGAATTAACAAGGCTCAAGCCGTGGCCATCGTTTGCCTGCTGTATTGCAATCTTTTCAGAGAAAGCATCTCAGTAACATATGCAATAATAATGATAGGCCCCTTTGGGGGCCCAGGGATAAAGGGGAACTCAACTTTATGTCAAAAACTGAATGTGAATAGGAGGAAAACACACACACACACACACACACACACACACACTCATATTCTTTAAAAGGTAAACATGAAAGACATGTCTGGCTAACTTTACCTCTTTGTCAATGAAAAAGAGCCTGAGCCTTAGCCAGTTCTGTCCGGCAAGTGCCCTGACAGTTGTAAACCTGAAGAAGGAAAGAGCAGGGCTCACTGCAGAGGAGCTCTAGTGAACCACTCAAGCCGTGACGGAAACACTCCACAGCCGCAGTTCCTAGTCCTGTGGCCAATAACCACACAGCACTTGACGTGTGCTCAAATGACACTGAGGAACAGAATTTTACGTTTCATTTCATTTGAATTCATTTACACTTGAACGTCAATAGCCACATGTAGCCACTGGTTAGTGCAGGGGACAGTTTAGCTATAGACACCCAAACCAACGGCTGGCAGGCAGTGTCTTTCTTTTCTTACAATAAAATTACAATCTTAATCAACCAATAATATCTTAAACTGTGACCCAAATAATTAGTACCTCTACACTGGCTCCAGCTGCCCCAAACTCAGAAAGCTTAAAAAGAAAAAGAAGACAAAGAACGTGACTGCAATATGTCATTTCCTGCAACTCTGTTCTGCCTGGGCACCTTACGTTTCTATTATATGACAGCTTCATGTATCTGGAAATCCATGCTCAGAGGCAGATCGGCATTTGCGAAACCAGAATGTCCCAGTCTCTTCGCTTCATGTTGAGGAAACATGAAAATGTGAATTTAGGGCAAGTTACTTAACCTCGCTAAGCTTCGGTTTCCTCAGGGCTAAAGTGCAGATAATAATAGTACTTGCTTCTCATGAGGATGAAGTTCAGAGAATGCCGTGAAGTCCCTAACAGCGCCTGTCAAAGAGTAAGCAGTCAGCAAGTGGCAGCTGTAGTCATTGTTTTGTTAATAATAAGTAGTAAAATCTGTAATGAAATAAAAACGATGCTACTAGAATGAAAGCTGACAGCCGGCAAAGTTTTCCTAGGCCCACACAGTTTGAACCTGTTTCCCAGGCTCTGGTAAAGTGGTTTCTAGTAAAATATGTCTTGGGGCCCTCACTGCTGGGCACTCACTGTCAACCTTACACTTACAATCACCTGATGGGTACCATAGGTCACAAGAATCATTCAGCCAGCGATTACTGTGCCCCGACTGTTGTAGGTGCAGTACTAGGCTTTCAGATGAGGACAGTCCCCAAATACAGTACAGTGTCTCAAGACTATACCATCTGTCACCTCAGACACTTTGGTGATTTGTAAAACCTTCATCCTTGGGTCCTTCACAGACAGGGAGGCTCAGTTCCTCAGCCACTGGCCCAGAGAGTAGGACTAAGGTGTCTGGGCACCTGCATGGTCCTACCCATTTTCTTGGTCAGGACAATAAGGAGGGTGTTGATGGGCCACGTTTCTCACTGACATACCAAATCACTTGAACAGGAAAGCTGTTCTCAAGCCTTCAAAAAGCCAAATATTGATTTGCCTCACAAAGCAAACACAACCCATTTCAAAAGCCAGCTGCCCCAGCTGGTGAAATGCAATGGGAGTCTCCACCCCAGAAACCCCCCAGGAGTGTCTAAGCAGAGTTTTAGGGGAATTCTGTAGGATTTGGGTGTTTCTTTTCTCTAAATAGAAAGCACTTGATCAATCTTTCACATCCAAGGTTACATTCCACTGTGGGATTCCCTTCTCTGAAGATCTCTAAAAATAAAATATTCATCTGACTGTCTGCAGTAATTTAAGTGTAAACCCACTACTGACTGGCAGTCAGCGATTTCCAAATCCTCCACCTATGAGCAAAGTATGTTCCAGACTGTCTCAGGTGCTCCCAATTTCTGGGCCATCGAGCTCCAGAAGAACACTGGTCAAACCATGCTCTTGACTTTGGAATAGGAATACAGGGTTGTAATATTTGGAATCTTATACTTATATTCTTTGCTGGGTAGAATATAAAATGGTCTAACCACATTGGAAAATGGCCTGGCAGTTTCTCGTAAGGTCCATATACACCTCCTCCATGACCCAGCAATTCCACTCCTAGACATTTACCCACAAGAAATGAGAACATTTGTCTCTAGGATGATTTATACATAATGTTCATAGCAGCTTCATTCACATACCTCAAAACACTGGGAATAACTCACGTGTCCATCAACAGGGGAATACAGTTAACAAACTATAGTATGGACATATCCTGAAATACAGCTCAGCAATAAAAAAAGACCGAATTACTGATACATGCAACATGGATGAATCTCAAAAACTGGCTGAGTAGAAGAAGCTTTACACAATACTGTAGATTTCACTTATGTGAAGCTCAAGAACTTAGAGTGAGAAATGATCAAAGCAGTGGTTTCCACTGAAAGGGTGGGGGCAGGGACTGACTGGGCAAGGGAAGAAGGAACTTGCTGGGGAGAGCTTGATAAAGACCAAGGTTACACAGGAGTACTCATCTGTCAAAACATTATGCAAATGTTACTCTCAAGATTTGCACATTTCACTATATGTATATAAAATTTACCTTAAGAAAACTACAACCACATATTGAACTCTAAATAATAAAATGTGCACTGGGATGTTTAGGAGCAACTGCATCAACATCTGTGATTAATTTTAAAATGCATAAACAAGTAAATTGGACTGATGGATGGATAGAGGGATAAATAGATGGACAGATGTGTAATAAAGTCAGTATTACAAGACTAAAGACTAGAGATTTAGGTGGTCACTTGCAACTTTTCTCTATTTTTAAGAATGGGATGAGCAGCAGAAAGAATCACATGCCCTCTCCTTAGCCCACTAAATTAGAAATTTGGCAGGACAGCCATGCCCACCAAGCTATGGGCCCACAGAGTTTCAATTCTGCTGAAAAGTTAAGATTGGAAGAACACAAGTAGCTTTACAGGAACTCACATCACTCATGCCAAAGATTTTCTGCCTGTTTCCCTACAAAGCAATTATTTGAATGGAAGCCAAGAATTCCTGCTCAAGAGGGAGAAAAAGAACTCACTGACTTATATTCCCAATTTGCTCTCTTTCAATCCCTACACCAAATCTAGTAGCTAACAGCACAGCACTCCACTTCCACTGGCCCTATGTCCATGCAGGCAGAAGACGAACAAAGAAAAACCCACACAGAGACTTGGCATACAAATGCAGCCAGAGGATGACACCCCAGCTCTCCCCACTAGAAACCCCTCTGGAAGGCCAAAAGAGGATGCGAGTTCAGCCTGAGGTTAAAGTGATTTCACTGAGGTTAGCACACATGCACCAAAGGCCCCCAAACAGCTTGTTGCCTAACCCCTCTGGGGTCACTTGAACCTCACAGGGAATTCAGCTGCTCAGAGGTACAAATTAGGAATCCCGGGCGAGGAACACGTGGGGTGCCCAGGGCGCCCTCCCACCGGCCGCCCGCCTGCCTTCCTGGCAGGGCTTCGCTTATCCTGAGATGACACACGATGGCAGGGGCTGGACGACGGCAAGCCTGACTGCTCGCCCAGCATCTGAAAACAGCTGTGCCAATTACAAGGGACCGCTGCCAGAGACCAGGGTAGCCACTCCGATATGGGGATTTGTGTCAGACTTTTTTAGAAAAATATTTTTTGTTTGTTTTTAAGCTCCCTAACTCACTGACACCACCCAGCGTCCCTGGGGACCACCCAGAACCTCACAGGGCAGCCGATCTCCAGCAACAGTGAGGCGGCTGGGCACGCGCCTGGTTCTAGCTCTTTGGCCTCCACGTGGTTGTCGCGCCAAAGACGGCGACACCCTAGATGAAGGGCACTAGCCCCGGCTGGCGGGGGTGGGGGTGCGCGCCTGACACGGGGCTTCCTGAAATACCCGCCAGCCCCACCCGGCCCTGGTGCGGACCCACCCCAGCGTTCCCGGAACCCAGGAAAGTGGGTTCGGGCGAGGGAAGACACCCCCTTACAGAAGGGGAGACGCCGTTTCAGGGCCGGGACTCCCCGCGTCCCGTCTGTGAGCCGCGGGTGGCGGCAGCACTTCCTCTGAACGCGTGCCCTTCTGGTCCCACCTACCCCGCACCCCAGCCCGGAACAAACCCACCCCCCAAGCGCCCGCAGGAGGCTGCCGGGGCCACCTCCATCCTCCGCCTCCCGCCCCGCCCGATCTCGCGCCCTCCCGGACCCGGCATCCGCGCCCAGCTCCCGCCTCCGCTCTGCCGAGGAGCCCGATGGCACTGCCCGGGACCCACCTGTAGCCTCGAAGCGTCCCTTTCGCTTCCTTCCTAGGCGCCGCCGACACCCAACAGGCTACTCTGGGTGCCTCCCCCCACAGCGCCCGGGGATTTTTCTTTTTTTTTTTTCAAAAAGTTGCCAAGACCTCTTCATCCTTTGGATCAGGCCCGACCCCATCCACCCCGGGCCGGAACGCTGGCGGGGCGGTGGTCCTGCGGCAGCCCCGGCGCCTGGAAAGCCCGCCCCCAGCGCGGCGACCTGCCGGGAGGAGCCACGCGGGGCTCCTCAGCCGCCCGGGTGCCGGCCGCGGGCCAAATGGAGGGCGTGCCGCCACCCGTGGTCCTGCCACTCGCCCACCTACCGTTCAAGACTCGCCCGGGAGAAGGCGCGGGCTCCCTGCGACAGCGTGCTGCGTCCCGGGAGGAAAGTTTGTGCCATCCGGGGCGGACGGCGCGGGGAGGGCGGGGGCGCCGGGCGCAGGGGCGGTGCGGCGCGCTCCGTGCGCGCCCCTCCCGCGAGGCCGGCGGCCGTCCGTCTGCGGAGCCCGCGGCTGCCGCGCTCCCGCTCGTTGCGCCCTGCGCCCGGCGCGCTCCGGCTGCAGCCCCGACGCGCCCCCGCCGCTGCCGCCGCGCGGCCGCCGGCTACACTTCCTCTTCCTCTGAACTCATGTGCAAAATATGCTGCGCTGCATCTTCGGGGGAGCCGAGCGGCCCCTGCCAGCAGCCGCGTCCCTCCCCGCGCCCCCTCCGCGCCCCGCACCGCCGCCTCTCCTCGGCGGGCCACCTGCGCACTCCGCCCCGCTCCGGCGACCCTTGCAGCCCCTGCGCGCAGAGGCCCGGGCTCACCGACCCACCCTCTTAACCCGTCATGACCCAAGGTCGTGAGCGTCAGGAGCGCGCGCAGGGGACCGGGACCCCTCAGCATTGGAGCTGCGGTGCTGGAGAGTGACGGCCACCAAGGCGCTGGTGGTCGGAAGTTGACGGGGGAGGCCCATTACGGGACCACCCTTCCTTCTCCCCGTCCCACAGGTGCGCCCATCCCAAGGCCTCTAAGTAATTCCTGGGAATCAGTGATTAGGAAGAGGGATAAAGCCACTGTCCTCTTGCCACAGCGTATCCCACCTCCGTCAGGTGTCCCGGAGGTTTGAGAGTATCTGGAAGTGACTTGGCCCACATTGTTAGACTGCGGTAGGAGGAGGCAGTTCTATCAATAAAGCACCAGGCCAGGGCTGCATTAGTAAAGTGGAGACATGATGCAGTGAGCCCATTATAAAACATTTTCTTCTTGAAACTTTTTAAACAAAGCAAAATCACAGTGTAGGCATTAAGAGCCTGAGCCCTGGAGCCAAACAGTCAGGGCTGGCCTCCTGGCCTCCAAACTTATTCCCTGAGTGACTTGAGCAAGTGACTTAACTGCTCTGGGCCTGTTGCCTCATTTGTTAAATTGCACTTTCCCCAGGGTTTTATATGTATAGTGTCCACAAAGCAGTCTATAACTTAGCTGTTACCCTCGTTGTTGTTATTTTTAATCTTAGAAGGGGACTGGAACAAGACAGCTGACATAACCTAATTATTTACCTGCATTTTCTGGTTGGGTGAGGAGGAGGCCTTAGGCATTGGAGCCCACGGAGTGGAGGCTGGTTTCGGTCCCAACAGTGTTAAATTAGGTCCTTCTGGTACTAATAACAGCCCTCACGGCTTAAGGGAGCCCAGTTTTGTTTTTAAGAATTCCTGTTACCACAGCTCCTAGAGGTTTTCCTCCTTGGGCTCTGTTTGGGTAGCCATCCCGGCTGTCTTCCTTCCCCCCGCCTCGAGCAGTTGCGGCTCTGTGTTTGGTTTTGCCCCTTTCCACCCCCCTGCTTGCTGGTGTCACTCATCACCTGCAGGGCCAATGTCTCCCCTCTTTCTCGGGCTTGCCTTGCCACCTGGAATAAAATAACAAGATCAGATGATGATCCGGACCCAGGTTCAAACAGTAGTTTGTAGAGACAAATGCCCACTGGCACCGCTGATGGTTTTGCACATCCACCTGAGAGGCCAAAAGGGGAGATCTTTGTAGTACTTCTCTGCCTGAGGCCTTAAGCTATTGCGAGGCACCTGACATCTTTCTGATCCTTACAAAGGAGGAAAAAAATAACATTGATAGCTGTTAACTAGTAATTCAAAAATAAATATGGGCTTTAAAAGAAGATAACGAGAAAACAGGAAAATGCAGCACACCTCTTGGTTGGGGTTGAGGGAGGAGGTTGATTTCTTTTATGTAAATCATTTCTGCTTTATAAAATTTTTGCACACACTTTTTTTTAACATCGGGTTATTGGAGTTAAATCTTATTCTGCTTTTTCCATTTTCTTCCACTCAATATTTTCTTGAATATTAATAGTGTATAAATGTCTTAAATGTCATCTTTTTTTTTCTTGGATCTACATTTTTTAGGGTTTTCTGCAACTTTTGACCTTTCCCCCTAGAGAGTGTGATGCTTCCTACCTAATGCATAAGTAGGTGTTCAATAAACAGAGAATGAATGGGTGAGTGAATAGCATCCAGATTTTTTAAGGTTCAATCTGTAACTTACACTGGACAATTTTTTGGAGCATTCGAATTCTCTTCCACCGGAATACACAATGAGGAGTCACCACTGGGTTCCCTTGTGTGAAGGTCAGCTTAGATTTTCCAACTAGCTGCCATGGACTGGGCATCTGGGCCTCACCTCTGACTGACCTCGCCTACCCAGCATCAACCCCAAAGATGCTGGAACTGTATCCTGGTGGGTTACCTTGGCAACCTCACAATGTCATCTGTAGAATGTCCTAGGGCAGCAGCTTTTAATTCTATCACAGCGGTCTCATCGGGGGTCATGTAATAGTGCTGTTTTTCCTCTGTTCACACTTCCTCCCCTATGATTTAACACTAAGTACTCAGGGAGGGAGACGAACACGCGGAAAACCAAGCTATTACAGCTCGACAGGTCACAGATGGCCCCAGAACTGGGATTCCCCAGCTTCACAGTCGATAAAACGCAGGCCCCAAGTTAATGGGGAAGCTGGTTCTCCTCACACCCGCCATGGAAAGCAGGAGATAAGCCAGCCTAGGCAAGCATAACAAGCAGCCACGGCCAGACTGTACAATTCTGGTAAAGCTCGGTTGAAGAAGCCCCCCACTGGAACAATTCTTGCTCTGGGTCCCAGCAGCATCGCCAGACTCTGGAGATGATTAAGGCCATGGCTACCAGCAGCTGGAGCAATTTTGCTACATCCAAGCTGTGCTGAGGCTTGGTAGGAAGGAGAATCCCAGCTAACCCTCTAACCTGCCTGCCAGTTTCCCATCCCCAGCCCTCCCCAACGATTTCATCACTCAGTGCCCCCTACCAAATTAGCTCAAAATAATTCAGCCCATGGTTATTCTGCAGCAAGCAATAACAATTTTATGCAGAAAACAGACCCATCAAAAGCTTCAGAACCTGAAGAGCTATTGTCCTAATTGTTTATTTAGGGGGCATGGATCCCAGATCTTACAGAGAGCAGCTGAACAGAAACATTTCAGGGCTGATGGGAGAGAGAAGTAAACATATATGCCCTGGAAGTACAAGAATTATTCATCCTTATCATTACAGTTAATATTTTAAGTGGCTTTGCAGCCACAGTGAGGTCACCGTTTGGCTGGCTGCTCCATACTGAACGGCTGCAGGAAGCTGGATCCATGAAGGGCGACAGTCGTTCCTAAAGGAGTGGTGACAGAGGCCAGAGTTCTGTGTCCCCAAGCCAGTGATTTCTCAAGAGCCTCCTGCCCTTTGTTCATCCTGATAGGCACAGCCCTCACAGACGCACCTCTGGCAAGTCTGTGGCACCCCTGGTCACAATGGAAAAGGGCACGCTTGTGCCAATGTCCAAACGTGCCCTGTAACTCCCTCAGCAGTGTGGGGTGTGTGAACTGGGGTCGGGGGTGGGGGGGACAGGGAACTGAGGACATTTCGAATGTATGCAGTGATCTGGCAAGGCCAGGGACTTTTGTCCAAAGTGTAGTCAAACAAATACTTTGCAAATGCCACCCACAGGCATCATCAATTTGAGGAAACGGATGATTGTCAACTGTTACAATTCACCCCATTACCAAAAAAAACAGAAAAACTCACAATTGTTATTCTACCCCTAACTCCACCCCTCCTTCTACCTCTGAATTCCCAGTCTGTCAGGCAGTTCAGGGAAGCAGGGGCCCTCCTGTGGCTGAGATAGAATTTGCTCTCTGGAGCAAAGAGCCAGGAGACAGGATTTCAGGAAGACAGTGTGATGCCTGCTGCTTCCGGTGCCTTGTTTCCCTCCCACAGCCTGAGGGAGCCTCCGGTTTTACCAAAAGCCGGCCACACCCCCCACTTGTCACCAGTTACTCTTGTTTATGGGACATAGCTGCTGACTTGAATTTGTGAACAAAGTTTATTACCAAAGGTGGAAAGAAAAATACATTATGATATACATATACATGTTCACGTATTATATATATATGACTATGTAGGAAGCCTATATATGCCACAGACTTTTTTCAAAAAAGGAGATTGTGGAAATAAATCATAAAATAAATGGTGGGATAAGATTTTGATACCTTAACTGATTCCCTCCCACCACGCTCCTTCCCCTCCCCCTACTGTATTTCTTGCTACACTGTCCCATCAGTTTAGACAGCTACAGAAGACATAGCTTGCCACAAGGGAAAGTTATCACAACAATACCAGTAAAAAAAAAGTTAAATTCTTGGCTTTCAGGTTTCAAAAGTCAGGGTCCAAATATAAAATGAGAAAGATAAGGAAAAATATGAAATCAAGTAGAACTATTGTTCCCTATTGTATCGTATCTCCTTTCCTTCCTCTACCCACCCACTATCTCCTACACACACACACACAAACACACACACACACACACACACACACACACNCAGGAAGAGATGGGATGTGTCAACAAGAGGCCATTGGTACCACTCAGGGACTGACCCGAGTCAGAATCCAGACACCCATCCCTTCCACTCACATGAGAATCATCTATCCATAACACTTGGGAACCCTGTAGGCAACTGGAAAACAGCTTTTGGAATTTGTCCAAGAGCACTGTGGATCTTTAGTAGAGGAAGGAAAAATACTGTCTTCCTTCTTACTAACATTTGGAAACAAACTCCCTTATACTGCAGCTAGGGCACAACCTGTGGGTCCTCTAGAGGGACTAACTCCTATTCCATGAGCTCAAGCCTCGCTTAATACCTAGGATGCCAGTTAGCCCACGAGATGGACAGCAGAGCCCTGCAAAACTGAGAAGCAGTGA